ATGTACTTCTACTCCCTCCATCGCGTCTGCTCTTCCACTCCTTCCATATACTTCGCCGCCCTGTTCTTGCACAACGCGACGCGAGGTGTACCGAACGGGTACTTGCATCACATACTTTGGCATTCATGGTGCCGTGTATTTTCAACCGTACGTTCTGCCGCCTGTGCGATCATGCTGACTCATACACACCTGTACGATTTGCTTGACACGACCTGCTGGTCATTTTCGACCCTCTGCAACTTTCCAATCATTCATATCTCTCTTCTCCTTTGCCCTTTCCTCAGGCTGTTCAAGAGGAGCTTTTTTTGTGACGGTGAGGAACTCATCGATCTCGACGACCATGACCAAGAACGTCCGCGCCAGCTACATCCTCGGCACCACCTTCATCGCCGCTGTCGAGAAGAAGAAATGGGGGCACCAGAACTGTTGGGGCTACCACGTCGTCGCCCTCTCCGACGACGTCACCATCATCGAACGCCTATCCAAGACGCCCACCCTAGAAGCGATTGATCTCGCCTCTCGCCCTACTGCCGGCGCCGGCGCTTCTACCAACTGCCCCGGCACCAACGAAAAACGGAAGGTTCCCTCAGGCGCGCGACGAAAGCATAAAACCGCAAGGTCCGATCCNGTCGTCGCCCTCTCCGACGACGTCACCATCATCGAACGCCTATCCAAGACGCCCACCCTAGAAGCGATTGATCTCGCCTCTCGCCCTACTGCCGGCGCCGGCGCTTCTTCCAACTGCCCCGGCACCAACGAAAAACGAAGGGTTCCCTCAGGCGCGCAACGAAAGCATAAAACCGCCAAAGGGCCGATCCCCATTCCGTTCCCGCGCCGACTCTTCTGGAGAAGAACCCGAAGAAGAAACCAACGACGACTACCCCGACGACAAACAGGACCCCGACTTTGCCCCCGGCGACGAAGGGGACGACAACGAAGACAACGACGAACACGACGACGACACTGACGATGCCGACAACGACGATGCCGACAACCGCGGCAACGGCGACAACGACGATGCCGGCTCCGACTATGCCGACTCCGATGACGCCGCCTCCGACGACGGCTATGACACCGAATGGGGCTTCCCTTTATCTGTCTTCCTTTGTTCGTTTGTTTGCCCTGAAGTCGGCCACCTCTCTGCATCATAGTGTCCGCTTCGGTGTTTCCCCGCGTATGTTTTGCGTGTTTGATCGCTGTTGTTGCTTTCGCGTCTCGTCGGCTGTCTTTTCTTGAGTACTTTTGATTGTGTCCATCTTGAGTGCTTTTCTACGAATCTTCATGCCAAACGATCGTTGAGCGTACTTTGGTACCACGTACCGTTGTAGCTTAACAACCGTTGGCCCAAACGATCGATTGATTGTAGTTTTGCATCGTTTTCTGCACGGACCATTGAATTTTTCTGCCCCCATTTTGAGTTGTCGATCCACGCTATCGTCGACTATCTTTGTCGATGAATCTGATTGAGCATTGTTGCTCCACATCATCGTGTTCGCTGGGAATGTTCTTATCTTTTCTACGTGCTTTCGCTAAACTGGTTTCCAATTTAATTTTCGTTCTTCACGTTTGTTGGGTATGTGATTTCCGCTTCATTTTGTGATTCCCTGTACTCGTCCAAAATTTCCTTCTATTCTTGTGAATTTTGTTCCACAATTCAATCAAGGCTATGCCTCCCTCTCTCGTGCTTGTCATTTTCATCTCCACTTTCACTTCTTCCCTATCGAATTGCTAGTTTTATTCTGTTGGACGTATTTTTCTTCTCGAACTATTCATACACATACCCAGATCTCTTCTCGAACTACTTCTCAGATCTCTCAACTCGTTGCCGCTTCTCAGCTTGCGTGCTTTTATCAAGTTTTGTCCGGGCCCCGCCACGCCCACGGTGGGGGCCTCCGCAAAGTGCCCTTCTGTGGTATCAGATATCAGCAGTATGCGTAATATAGGAATGACCGTACCGATTGTTCTAGATCTCTTGACTGCAATTTGGTGTGGAATAATTTTGTTTCTTGATACTTCATTAGGGACGTGTGGCCGCATGATGTGTACGGTTAGAGCGGCCCCTACTGCCACCCTGTGCGAGAACCTAACGTTCCTTGTTTTTTCAAAGCGTTCCGAGTGATCTTTTGTGTCTAACACTCTTTTTGTATTTTTCAGCGTTAGTTGACATCGAAATATTTTGTAAGTTATCGTCCAGAGGCTCAATACATTTGGAAAAACAAGAAAATAGGGAAAAAAACGTGGATAGTGTTGGTTCTGTACCAAGCTCTACCGCATGTAGATGACAACACGTGCTCGCCAGTGGCGATGAACGAAGAAACTGAGCCTCGGCCCGATTTGTTTCTCCGGCCCATACTCTAGCTGTACGATCATAAAAATCGACAAAAAAACAGAGGGAACACATTTTATATTCTCAAAGTGGGCCCTGCGCTCTACTTCATTCAGGTAAGTGTGCGGGATAACCTATTCCGTCCACCCTTGCTGTTCATCAAAGACATGGTGCGGCGTAATCACCAATAAGAAGGAACCTGGGAGGCCGAAATTGTTTCCAGGAACGATATTGTGGTTGGCCAGTCAGGAAATAATGCTGACTTCCCTGTTCCCTGTTCTGGGAAGGGGGCACAACAAATCAACAAAACAAACGAACACCATGTTCTGTGTGAGACACACGAAAGCGGACAAAAAAACAGACGGGAACAACATTCCACACAGCGCAACAAAACGACCTCCCGGCATCAACCACCGCCGCCCCATTGCGACAGGAGGTCACCCCTTACACTTCGTATTCTAGCACCTACAGTAAGTCTCTGTGACCACGGTGTAGGGTAGAAAATTTCGTGATTTGCACAGTGATTGGTTGTAGGTAGTGGCGTCCGGTTAGCATGTCGAAAATGACACGTTCAAGGCCTACAACCACTGAGCTCGACTGTCCCTCTTTATGGACATAGCAGGCAGGTGCCCCCCCTTGGCCCTACCGATTGTTACTCTTACAGTGAAACTCTTCAAGTAGCGTTCCTGCTTGCACCACTACCACTTGTGGAAGAAAAACGTTCTCGTAATCCATCGTGTGGTGCCCACCATAGCCTGCAAGAATTCCCCCATTTGTGCGAAAAGCTCCCGCCCTAGTACATAAGCTACCGGAATGCGTGGATTCTCGGGATACTGGACAAGCACCCCCTCTACCAAGCCCTGGTGTTTCGGGTGAACTTGACGGACAGGCACCGACAACGACAAACCACAGAACGAGATGCGCTCGTTCTCCCAAGTCGAAATATTCCCTCAAGGTAAATACCCGACATTAGTCTGGACCCCTTGGGTACAACAACGTCCGCCAAAGGGATAGAATACGGTGAGGGTGGTTTCAGGTGCATACGCTGCACCAAACAAGACCGACGGCTAGCGAGTTGGAGCAGCAATCGAATGCGAGTCCAACCACTTTTGAACATTGTCGTTCCGAACCCACACCATCCCGCCCCTCCCATCGGTGACACGCTTCATCTCGTCCCTGAAGTCGATGTAGCCATCACCATCCCGGGCGTTCTTAACCCTGTCAACTTGTTCCTTGTCCATGAACTTCTTCAGCGCTTCATACGAGGCCCTCGTATCCCTTTGCAACTCTGCCCCGATGTCGTCGTCACCCGAAACAGCACGGAGCAGAGCGTCGTCGAGAGTCCGGTCGACTAGCTCATTGACCAACCCATCTTTCACGTCCTTCAGGAAATTCGAGATGTCCACGTCCAGCCCTGTCGTTGCGTTGAGCGCCACCTTCGCGGTCACCACGGCCACCTAAAGGAAGAGGGCGCACAAACAAAACGACAACAAAGAATCCACCATATAGCTCATATCACTCGCATGTCAAGGCATGACCCAAGCAACCTAGCCCCAATGTACCACGCCTTGGAAATGTAAACCCGTCTTGCAAGGGGAGAGGTGCTCATTCGGAGTGCGACGAACCTCCCCCCCAAAAAAGAGGGCACCATGAATCGTTGAACCTCACCGTAGAACCCCATCAGAAACAACAGTGTCACCTACTCCTACCGGCCTCTTTCAAAACCCTTGTCTTACCTGAAGGACAGGCGATATTTTCTTTACCCAGCCACGCGTCTCCTGAAATCGATAGCCTTCACCACCATAGCCGCACGGTACCTTTGTCATGTCGACCGGGCACAAGAAGTGAAGTGTCATATCTTTCTTCCCTAAACGACGCAGCTTGCTCAGCACGCTCTTCTTCCCATGAGCCTTCGATGCAGTGCCATCAGATCCAACTTCCTTGACGACCACAAGGCGAGGGTAACGGTAGTTCGGGGCCTGCAGGTTCCTGATGCGCATGAGGCTTTCCTGGGTGCTCTCCAGCACCTTGTCCAACCTTTCCGATATCATGATGAACCCGTCCTTCATTTCCTTCTTCACGCTACGCACAGCCCTGGCCACGTCGTCGATCTTTCGAATCAACTCGCCCTCCTCCTGGGAAGGATCCTGCTTTGTACAAACATGACGCGCCGACAGGCACAGGACGGCAACAATCAGCTGCAAGCCATAGAGCAAAAACAAATGTGTGCCCCGACGAAGAAGGACCGCAACCCTGGTTCGGAACGTTGGGGAGACACCTTGAGCCAGGCAGGACGGCCAGGCCGATGCAATGTGGAATAGGCGATGTCAGCATATACCTCCAGCGCACCCTTTCCGAACAAGGACATATTGATAGACGCCATAGAGGTGAATTTTTCCTCCCGTTATTGGCCATCCCCGTTCGAATGTGATGGTGTCGTGCACTTGCGCAGACAAGGCTGTAAGCGAGGAACAAGGAACACGGCAACATCAAGATTGTGCCTCCGATCTTCCGTCTAATGCATATAAGACCAAACAAATGAAGATACAAGCCGCAGAACAAGCCGAATTGCGGCACCTGTCATCGGCCGACCATGCCCGAGGAGGGTCACAGGTGGTTGGTATTCGAGGGGAATCAACATTGTAGAACATTCAAAGGATGAAATCTATATCTGAACGTGATTTTGTCGCTCGATACTCCGAGATCTAGGAAATGAATCGCCGCACGTTACGAGCAGCGGCGTAAAAATCACGTCCATACCTGACGACAACCCGAATCGCCGAACGACCACCGAAACATGCCAGAGCTCGATGCAAGCGGTTTCGTCCCGTTTGATCCACCATGGGCACAGTTTGTCCAAGGACTAACTCAAAAACTAATGCCTTCTTTCCTCCATCGGATCATACCGGAACACACGATGATGCGGCAAAATCGCTCCGACTAATCGATTGTGCACTTCTTTACAACCGAAGGCGTGCAATCCGTTCTCACCGTCGGGCAAGATAAGGAGTACTGGCTGTCCAGGTCGTCGAACCTCGCCTTCACCTCCTTGAAAATCACGTCTACCATGCGAAAATGAGCGGAACAAGAAGGCCAGCACCACGAACAGTTATTCTCTTGCTCACGACGAGATACTCCCATAGCAGATACCCCCATGGGTAGCCCGGGAGGGGTCCATGGGTAGCCCGGGAGGGGTGGCAGCAACGGTCGAAGCTTGACCGGGCCGGAGCCATCGAATCACTCCTCCGTGTTGCCTATATTGCGTAACGTGCAACAATGTCTTGAGCACGAACGTCAGTCTCGATGAAGACCCCGGCAGGGCGCAGACAATGCAACAGAACTGCAAGCTCGTGCCCCCAACACTCTGTACAATGTATCAGTGCACCTACGGCTGGACTCACGGATCAACGATGACAATCAACTGACGCTGAATTCGACAAAAGCCTACATATACCCAACCGTTGCCGAAAACGTAGGAATCAACGCACAGGTTGAAGCGATCGACCAGGATTAGGAAAAACGAGGGTACGAAATGTACATATAACGGTTTCACCAGGGGTCGAAGTTGATGCACAGGATTACGAAGACTTCAACATAACACCACTATAAGCCTATCGACCGTGAGGTTCGAGACATCGCGAGTAGGTTCCGTGGCCTGCAATCAGTTGCCTCATGTATTGCTCTTACAGTTTGCTGTTGGACTCCACTGCTGCAAGGGTTACAGCGTGGTAGCCCACGCGCAGAACGACAACAACTTCTTTTACCTAACCTCAACCCTAAACGAAAGTATGCCAAGAACTCACAAACGAACACGAAAGAAACTGAAAATGAAATATTCCGTGATCCAGTAAATATACCGCGATCTAAATCCTTCCAACAGCGAAGATAAAGCTGAAAGGGAAATGGATAAACCTCAGCCGAGAGCCGGTCGTTCTTCGTTCTGCGTTCTTCGTACACCGTCACAAGCAAAATCTCAATCCACTCTGCTAGTCGCCACTTAGAACAACTCTACCGAGTCTTACGGGTTCTACGTGAGAATGTTCAGTGTATTGCACGTGCTCGACTGCGACATGGGAATGCTCGCACGTCTGTTGCAGCAACACACAGATACTATTCAGGCAGAATAGTAACGGTTCGGTCGGTGTGACGTATCGCAGAGGGCGAGCATATCGCAATAGAAAGAACACCCACGAGAACTGGAGCCGATGCGTTCTCGCTCAGTTTGGCACCAATCGGAGCTACAATACTGCATAGGGGCGTCCGTGAGACAAGCAGAATCGAATGCATGAATCCAATTGCCGTTGGGGTGGCGGCGATCGCACAGGTGGCAGCCAACGCAAATCGGACACTTCCGCGCTCACTCGCACTTGTACGAACTCCCTACTTGTCGTGCATACCTCGGTCCAGTCGGATGTCGACAAAGCGCACGAGATCGATCGCCGCTGACCCGAGCCCGAGGGTGTCTACACTGCATTGTGGGCATCTACTGCCTTCCAGAAGTGTGTCTCCACCGCTTCTCGCCTGGCAAGTGGGATGCAACACGTTTCCCGCATATGAGGTGGTGGAATAATAAACTAAATTGATCTCGAGAAGTTTGTCTCCACCGCTTCTCGCCTGATAAGTGGGGTGCAACACGTTTCCCGTATATGTGCTGGTGGAATAATACACTAAATTGATCTCGCATCTTGATCCGAGGATCGCCTCAAACACCTACACGTCTTACACGTAAGGCTCTTTGAATGCCAAGAGAAACGCCGGACGTGAGGCACAGCAGCAGCAAAAGCACTCGAGCTAACAAATGTCAAACACATCTGCATTTGGCGACGCACTCATACACACCCATCGAACAAAAAGGCAAGAGTGAAAATGAATGTCAAATTCATGCAGCCACGTGCTGCTGCTGATGCATCGCCGCGTTTCAAAGACATTCGATTGGCAAAGGTGCCACCTGCACAGACGACCAGTAAAGTACTATAGCTTGNAAGTTTGTCTCCACCGCTTCTCGCCTGACAAGTGGGATGCAACACGTTTTCCGTTTATGAGGTGGTGGAATAATAAACCAAATTGATCTCGAGAAGTTTGTCTCCACCGCTTCTCGCCAGACAAGTGGGATGCAACACGTTTCCCGTATGTGTGGTGGTGGAATAATACACTAAATTGATGTCGCATCTTGATCCGAGGATCGCCTCAAACACCTACACGTCTTGCACGTAAGGCTCTTTGAATGCCAAGAGAAACGCCGGACGTGATGCACAGCAGCAGCAAAAGCACTCAAGGCTAACAAATGTCAAACACATCTGCATTGGGCGACGCACTCATACACACCCATCGAACAAAACAAGTAAGAGTGAAAATGAATGTAAAATTCATGCAGCCACGTGCTGCTGCTGATGCATCGCCGCGTTGCTGAAGACATTCGATTGGCAAAGGTGCCACCTGCACAGACGACCAGTAAAGTACTACTTGTTTAGTTTGACAATACATAACCTTGTCGAAATGACACTAATCAACTCTCCGTGTGTTCCACTATGTAGTGCAGTTTCCTGTGCTCCCAGTTCTCGAAGAGATCAAACCTACGCAGAGTGAACGAGTAGACAACAGCACACAGGATCGACTGTACCCACAACCTGGCGAGTCGAGCGACCAGAAGTGTACCCACACTAGCCATTGGTCTGCAGGCCTTACGCGTGTTGAGGGCTTACCTTATCGACAAAGAGCATCGCGTCACCATGCTGAGGACACTTCAGCGAGCCTTTCCAGCGCAGTCCGGGAAAATCCATCAGCATCAGTTTCACGGCCGACATGACGTACGACAGGGCCACCCATGCAGCTGGCGTGCTGATATCACCGAAAATCTTAGCAGTAAGCTCATTGTCGGTGGATGAGTATTCCAAAACCACAGCAAACGTCCTGCGCCCATATTGAGCGCCGAGGCTGCCATGCACAAGCACCCCATACCGCCAGAATGTTCGCACATCGCCAAGACCGCAGCACCGTGTCAACACCTTTTCCACCGCTCCAGGCGGTACACCGAGAAAGATCTTCCAGCTGACGCTGAATGCCGGGGTGAGCCCCGAGCAGAAGGTATCGATCAATTTACCGACGCTCTCGGGGCGGCTTGGCTTTAGCCTCAACAGAACCACCAGGCCTACATCAGGATCATTTTCGAGTGGGAAAGTGAGACCCAAGGATGAAAGAGTGGGGAGGACATACTCCGACAGACCATCCGGCCACATGGCATACGCCAACCTGGGTTCAAGAACGCCTTCCTTCTTGAGCCTGTCCCACGATTTGATGTCTGACGGATCGTCGAGTGTGATAGGTGTGTCGCGCGTGTCCCCAAGATTCACACGGCCGTCGAAGGTCTCCTGGTCCTTGTGATTGAGCAAGGGCTTGAGGATTCTCGCCAGCCAAACGACATCCAAAAAGACGAACTTCTCGTGGCGGACGAGGGATCCGTCGAACTCCCTGCACGCACATTATTGTCAAGCCAACGGTCGAGTTGGGAAATCCGCCCAGGGTGAGTTCACAAACCATGAGGAGCGGTTACGGAAGCGGCTTCGCCACCTCTTTTCAGCAATGGGACCAATACAAATCTTGGTCGCTAAGCCATCGAGTGGGTGCACAGCGGACGGCCATATTGTACCTACTGTTGGCAGCAGGTCCCACCGCCTGACGAAACCGGTGGCTCCGTGTCGGACTGCCGATTTGGATATATTTTACCTGACTGAGAGAGCTCCCTCCAAAGCATTCTTGGCGTTTGTAACGGTAATTCCTCTCCGCTCAAGCTCATCCACTGTTTCCTGCCATTTGGTGCCCAGCTCCTCGACCGTGATCCCCTGATACACGTCTGTCGTGCCCTCTGCCGTTTCCGCCGCGTCTTCTCCGTCGGGGTCGGGAGACTTGTGCACTACCACCTCCACGGGATCTCTGAGCAGGCAACGTCCAAACAAAACCAGGGTCAACGTGGCGTTCATACATCCCGACCGCGCAAGTCGCCGGTGCTTGATGCGTGCTAGTGTTCGAAGATGCCATCCAAGCAGCTGCACGATGTGGGCTACTGGTGCAACCAAGCAAAAACAACGTGACCAGAGCGGCGACTCGCGAAAAACACAATCATATGTTGGACAACCGAAAAGCGAATCCGACGGGGTTTGGGCGGAGAGGCGAACAGCCAGCGATTGTTGGTGTTCCCACCGCTCTCCACCTGGTAGTCACATACGTGTTCTTACTTGACATAGCGTTCGAGACGGAACCGAGATGAAACGATCGGTTGTACTTAGCCTTAACAACCTATATTCTGCGGAATCATTCATTCCTGCGAGTGGCGAGGATATATCTGCGTCGCTTCGGCTATTATTGGCGTGGGGCCATGGGACTACGTTTCGTCACCATGACGAGCACCAAAGAGCATGCACTGAGTAAAGGCCAGACCGGGTAGTTAACGCGAAGAACAACCACCACCACTACCGCCAACAATAATAACCGACAACGAGAGGTTACCGGGCTGCAACACCCCGAAGGCTCAAGGCTTGCTACAGCCTCCTGTGCAGAACCCCAACACAGAGGGCGTAGATGGCATTCCGGTTCTTCCGGAAATCAATAGCGGCATACAATATCTGTGTACACAATTTTGGTTCGTGTCGTGCTTGTATGAGTTCCCAGTTGCGGTGCTGTGATGCGACAAGTCTCCAACAATCAAGAGCTTAATGAATTGTTTCGCGGTGGTGAGCAAAGTTAAGCGTGTTTTCGAACGCCGCGCACCCCAACATGTTGATCGTTTTCGTGGGTGCTTCAAGGCGGACTTCGGCGAAATCTCCTACATAAGGGGGTTCAACCCTGTCCCAGTGGGGAAAACTGTACTTGTTCAGATTACCCCCGGCGTCGACCTACCTATGCATCGAAACTCGTTGTAGAACCCAAATATAAAAACATGATCAAGCTCACCGTCCATGCTCGAGAGCTTCCAGAAAAGTGAGGGCGATATCCCAGCTGCGAGGAAGCACCATCTGGGTTCCGCGGAGACCCCTTCCGTCAGGCTTGTTGACGAGCCTGTGAAGAAAACTGGGCGGGGGTTGATCGTCTTCCTCGTCTCGCCAATCGCATGCCCAGCCCCCCTTCGATCCATGGTTGTCAGCGTTCTTGTCGCCATGCTTATCAACTCGTACCGGGAAGCAGCTCGTGAGGCAAACGTGGGGCTCCAACCGAACAGGCTGCATACCATTGCGAACCCAGCCCGATAGCCACGTTCGACAGGTCTTCTCCATTCTGCTGCCAATTTCCCGTGCGTTCCCACCCGCCAGGTCACATTTGGTTGCGACGAGAATGACGTCGTTGTCGGGAACCCGTAGAGATATCGATCGCAGCCAATCGCATACGCGCAATTCTTCCAGCTTGCGGCAGTCTTCCTCAACCCCACCACAATGTTCGCTATCTCGCCGCTGTCCGAACTCCCCCGCGTTGCACACGAGCACGCAAACCGACCGTGGCGTCAGAAACATCTGCAGCAGCCCCGTGTAGGCGACCTGTTGAACGTGCGAAATGTGATTTACACATCAAACATAATCGACCTCGTGGCCTCTTATCCTTGCGGATTATACCTCGCCCAAGTCTACAGACGACACAATCCTCCATTGACCTATTCGAGGCACGAGCCACCTCCGAGTCGAGAAGGCAATACGCTGTAGATACTCCACACTAGAACGGGGGGCTAAGATTCCATGTGGCGCACTCGAGCAAACGCTTACAAGTAAGTGTGGACCATGCACCAAGCACTTCCCCTATTCCTGCACACTCAAGTGGCTTTTTCAAGCTTGCGTTCCGTAAGCACCGTGTTGAANACCTCCGAGTCGAGAAGGCAATACGCTGTAGATACTCCACACTAGAACGGGGGGCTAAGATTCCATGTGGCGCACTCGAGCAAACACTTACAAGTGAGTGTGGACCATGCACCAAGCACTACTCCTATTCCTGCACACTCAAGTGGCTTTTTCAAGCTTGCGTTCAGTAAGCACCGTGTTGAACAACTGCGGGACATCAACACCTCGTGAAATACGTGCCACTACGCGGCGCACAGCAGTTCAAACCACGCAGGCGTTGATATTTTCCGCCCTAGCGCAACAACATATTCGGGTCAACTGTCTCGTGGCCGCAACCCCCAACGAGACGACATATAACAACAAAGCCGTGGGTTCGCTCCGCCAGGACACCCTTTACGAATGAGCTGTGTATGCTGCAGACAAACGATTTTTTACGCTGGCTCTTTCTTCATACTTCAAATCAAGAAAGAAAACAACCTTCCCGCCGGATGAACCTGGTAATTGGCACTAATATCTAATATCCTTAGGGGACACCATCAAGAGGGGGTGTGCATGCTGGCACGTTCAGGTCTGCTGCTGGAGCTGAAATATCGAAGGTCGCAGCAGTCTCTGAAACAGTCCGGAATCTGCGCCGGAACCAAGCGAAATCCAACATTTGTCACAACCGTGCTCACGCCACGGACGGTCAACCCCGGACGGAGGGTTGTCAGCAGTAGCTAATGGCATCACCTACTGCTGTCAACCCGCAGTTCAGGAGATTGGGGTCAGTGGCGGCGTGCGCACGCGTGCAAGACCCTGGATGTCCGTCATTTGGCGGAGATTCGCGGATACTGTAGCCCGCTGCTACAGGGTGTCCTCTTACAGGGTGTCCTCTAGTGATATTAGTACTATGCACCAATTCCTGGCAACATGGACACTGTTTGATCGCCTTCCGTTTTGGCTCCCTTGACTCATTTAGAATGGTGTGGATTTTCAGCTTGAGTTCAAGGGAGGCAGGCGTGTGGAGGTAGACGCGTGAAATATCTGTTTTGAGCAGCCTCTACTGCCGCCCTTTCCGAGAATCAACAACGCGATGCCTTCCGAGTGGTTTTGTGTGTCTGTTGTGCATTTTCTGGCCCTCTTGCGTTTGTTTTCAAAACTAGTCAACATCAAAATTCTTCGTCTGCCATCTCTTGAGGGGGCCCGCCAGGATACGCTCCCAACGACAAAAGTTAGGAATCAATTTGTTCGGGGCCTGCCAAACTAACGCACCCAAACGGTGTCGGCGGTCTGCCTTTTCCCCCGACGGAGGCCAAACGCCTTGACAAAACTCGGTGCCCGTGCCCCGATGAGCACAAAATCCATTACAGCCACGCGATCCCCAAGCAGCCTACACCCGTGCTGTCCCCCACCCGGGTGATGCATGTCGGAGGCCTGTGGTGAAGCAAGTCCTGTAGTGAATGCTTTGATATACGAAGTACCAGGTACTTGAACTTATTCGGTGTCGCGTGAGACAACTCTCGATACGCAGGTTAAGCTGAAAGGCATTTGGCGATATTGAGAGCAGGATTTCGCTTGTTCTGGCAATACTTCCTCCACGTAGTCGCTACAGTATCACTCGCATCTAAGGCGCACAGCGAATGCTCCTGGGCGACGGTCTCACGCAACACCTCCGTTAAGCACCGATCAT